CCTCCCCCCTCCCACCCCCTTCCTCCCTCCTTTTAAAACTTACAAGGGGAAGAGGTAGAAATACTTACAGATATCTTACCAGCAAAAATCAAGACAAATGTCTTCTGTAGAAAAGAGGACAGGACAAATCTCTCAACACTACTTTCTTGTAGTTGCCATGTACTCACAAGCACATGCATGCTTCTAGAAAAACATGTCTACAGAGTGTTTCTGTACTGGAGAAAGATCAAGAAAGGGAAATTGAAAAGAAAGATACTCCTTAGAAGTTAAAACCGAAGAATTTTGCAAGTAGAGGCATCAGTCTGACTCATAAAAATCCTCACAGCCTTCTGTCAGTAGACCACAAAGGACCAAAGGGGAAGAAAAGAAATCTAAAGTTCAGCTGGCACTGTCAGAAGTATGGCCCCTGATGTTAGAAATATCGTATTTATTTCCTATCACTGAACTACATGGCTCGTGTTGTCATGACATGATTGCTCATCTCAGGAAGGAGCCTCCTCCTACATCTGTTTCATGAACAAGAATATTGCTATCTGTAGAGGAAGGGATGGTAATCTAGCACAGATTTTTATCTGCAGGTGGGGAAAGTCCCAAGGCGAGCTGCTATTGTTCCACATTGTGGTCTGGGCAAGACAGCAGGAAGATAGGTGTTCCGGGGGCTGGTAGGACAGGGCAGAGATGTGGGATACTCAGAGCAGGGAGGAGAGGTGCAGGCCCAGGTCCAGAGAGGCAAACACAGTGGATCTGACTAAGCCAAAGAGGATGCATTTTAAGAGCAAAGCACCACATACTATCACTTTCCTTCCATTAGGTTGTCTTTCTGGTCCTTGGGCAGATGTGAAAGAATGATTTTGAATTTTTATTATGGTATGAAATAAAATGTATTTCAGGAACTTATTACAGAGTGGATGAAATTCAAACAGAGTTTATACGTGAGTTGCTTCCTGTAAAGAAGCTCTAGTTAGTAAAACAAAGACTCTAAAAAGTCAAATCAAAAGGTTTTCGTAAAAACAAATGGCTTTTTTTTTGTTTGGTTTTTTTGTTTTGTTTTGTGCAAAAGCAATCATACAGTAGAAAACCGAAGAGCAGGACAGATTTGTGTGTCCTCTAAGCTATGTACAACTTACTAAAGGCATTATCCTTAGGTACATACATTGCTAAATCTGGGGACTGAATGTTGCCTCCCAATTTCTCTTCTACTTTTTGAGCTGTGCATGGAAAACTCTTTTTTAGCTCACTATATTATGAGAGCAATGCTGTCAACATCACAGTCATTCTACAGATTTGTAATCCATTTTTTTTTTTTTTTTTTTTCATACATCTTCATAAAAGCACCCAAACTATCACAGTCAGTTATCTACACACCCGGGGCTGGCTTTGTTGTGTGCTCTCTGCTGATATTCAGGCAGAAAATGTGCACATATGGCTTTGCATTACACACAACCTGAGTGGATTCATAGTGAAGATGGTGAATTTCATAATTACCTAGATAGACAATTGCATGGTTTTGTGAGAGATGCTGACTAAATGTCCTGTTCCCTATCTCTGTCCTGCCTCAGGCAGCACTGCAATGACAGCAGGGAGAGGAAGAAGTCGTTAAAACAGTTAAGCCAGTTTCCTTCTCAGAAGGCTGATTCTGCCCAGTCCTGAGCACCTCCTGAATTAATTTTGCCTCTTACTGTTACCCAGATGATTTTGATAAACAGAACACACACTGGTTGCAGTTCTGGGAACTCCAACTGCCCCAGGTCTATTTTGAGTACTAATATAAGTACTACTTCTGATGTGCTACCTGTACCGATGCTCTGGATGCTGATAGCTAAGTGAAAACGAGATATGAGTTGGCAAGTTTGTTTTAGCAAGATAGATCAATGAAAGGCTGCACAGGAGAAGGAGGTAGAGGGAACAAAGAACACAGAAGGGTAGATCTATTTGTATGCCTCATGCCTCAGTTTGTACCACATCTGAACTTGCGATATCACAATGTTGTCAGTACACTGTCACTCTGTGAATTTGCATACTGGAGGATGCTTTGAGCAAAATGAATGGAGAGAATAAGAGAGAGGGGCTTAAGAGATTGGAATAGCTGCGGTAAGCAAAATACAACATTCAACTGATCTATGAGAAATAGGGTAAGGCACAATAGCATCTTCACAGTCAGAGAGAGCAAACACCCATGACACAAGCAAGCATGCTGTTCTGGCTTGGGACATAGATGAAAGCTTTTTGGGTCTGAATATTATCAAATTGAGAGGAAAAGTCCCTCCAGCCAAAGCAGAAGGAGAACTGCTGCCTGACTAGCATGCCAGAGTGAAGCAGAACTCTTAAGTGAGTGCCACTGGAGGATGGTCCAACAAAAACTGAGTGGGTGTATGTCTTCCTCTTGCAGTTGTTTGTGTGTTGATCTGACTCTTCAGTGTTACTTCTCCTTGTGGTCTGTGTGGATCTAGACAGTTCATTTAGTTTTAAGCTCTGTCATTTCTTTTCGTGTCCAGTGTAAAATTTTACACTGTATTAACTGGCTACTGATTTTATATTTACCAGTCCTTAGCTAATACCAGCACGTCTCCTGCATTAACTGTACTATTTACAATCACTCGCTTCCATTCAGTCTCACTTCCACATAGACGGGGGGAAAAAAAAAGGTTTTCAGTACTTCTGATACATCCACTACTTCCCAGCTACATTTTTCTATTCACTCAAGACAGATTCTGCACAAAAGTCAGAGAAACAGACCCAATTTACAACAGTGTCTGTTTGGTTTTTCTCCTAAAGCCCTAAAAGCATTCAGGCCATGCATCTCTGTGATTTAAGTTACGACACTTCCACAGGAGAGTGAGAAAAAGTTTTGAAAACCATGAAGTTTTACCTGTATTAGCTTGCACTTCACTCAGCTTTCCAGTTATAATCCATCTTGCATGAAATGTGAAATTAAATCACAGACAAGCTACTCTATTTCCTTTCCCATGCTTGGCTTGCTTTGCACAGTCATCCATTTTTGTTTCAGCAATTCCCCTTGTTTCAGGCACTTAAAACCTTATGTTCTAAGCAGCCAAATACTTCTTAAAAGTGGTCTAAAAGTTGGATTTATAAAGTATCACTGTCAACCTGTTCCACCCATAGCAGGCCACTGACAGAGAAACAAAGTCGAGGAATGAAGGACCAGAAGTAAACAAAAAATATCAATTTCCACACACTTTGGAGAAGCATAGGTTTCATTTGTTTTATTTTTTAAACAAGAAAAAGCATCACTGTGTTAATGAATACATACATTCAAAGCACTCAATACATTCATCATTTGAAACAGAAACTCTGGACAGAGCTGTCCTGAAGCAGCAGCAACCAGCACAGTGCAGAGGTGTGGCAGAGAAGATATTTTCACGTACTTCTTTAAGTCACGTAAGTACATCTCCGGAAACAAACTTGGCTCAGGCATTTGCTAACATTTTAACTACTCATTACTTAGCTGCTGCTATAAAGAACAACGATTATTTAACTATTCCTTCTAGCACACTACTGAAAAAAGTTACTTATTAAAAAAATACTGAAATAAAAACATGGATAATGTATAAAAATAGTTTATTTTGTAATGTTACACTCAATTTTTCCAGCTCATTTCTGAAATGAATGACAACTACTGCCATTGTTAAAGGAAACAGTAAGAGGCTGAAACAACCAAGCAACTAATGTACATGTGAATGAATCTGCTTTCTTCTGTCCCACAAAGTCAGATAGAAAAACGCAATTCCAGGCTAAAAACATACTTAAAATCTAACTTCAGCCATTTAAAAAGCTGACTTACACACTATTATTGGTTAAGGCTTACACCAGTCTAACAAGCTTTGAGCAGTTTTCAGATATATAAGGTCAGAAAATTCAAAAACAGCTCACTCTTCCAGTGATGATCCAAAATTCAGAGTCCATCCAGGCGGCTACTGCTTTGGCAGAATGACTGAACACTGCACAGTCATCTGAAATGCAAAGTCAAAGTACATAAGTGCTGTCAAAGCAAAGCAGATTTATTGTCTTAAAGGCAGGCTACATAGTTATCATTCTGTTTACAAGCAGGCGCAACTCTTCCCATGTGTGTAGCAGCATTTCCAAACTTCCTGAAGGCCAGGTAAGTTTGAAGAATTACAGGGAGGGTGCAGTGATATTGAGAGCCAACAAACAATCTTGCAGAAACGCTACACTAAAATTAAGATATTTAGGTTTGTAGGCTACAAATGAAAAACTGTGCAGCTTATTTTTTGTTTACATGCATTAGTTGTCTTCACAGAAAGCTCTTCACAGAAGTGAACAGAATGCTCTGAAAGTGAAAATCCCTAAAAAGATTATTTATTTTTTTTATATGTTGGTTCACCATCAGCTCTGAAGTATAGCTATCATGTACAGATATCTTTCTCCAAAGGTTCACTGGTTGGAAGAAAATTAAATTAATGCTCATGATACATAGGGACAGGTAACTTCGAAAAGTTTACCAGGTCCTATCATTGAGTGGGTCTAAACAACATCAGTTTCAGCTTTCTTGAGAGACCTTTAGCCTGTAAGGCTGTCAGCCTGTAAGGCTGTCCACAGTACACAGAACCTTTCTACCTAACTCAATTCATGACAGTCCTATATACATAGTTACACTGATTTGAGATTTTTTTTTGACAAATCAATCAAGAATATTTTAAGATCAGAACTCTACATTCACAAATTATGAATAATTACCACCTGTATTAGTCTAGAAAAAAATGTTTGAAAAGAAACAAAACTTTGATTTGTTAGCTATCAAACATACTATAGTCCCAGCACGTCAAAGATGAACATGGTAAAACAATGTCTAAGGATGCCTTATCCAATCTGAACTATTCCGAAGTTTTCACTCATTACAACTTTCTTACCCAAGTGCAACATCATTCCCTCTATCAGAACTGACAAACATTTCCCACTGGCTAGTACAGCAGTCTAAAAAAACAACAGGGAATATCAGTAGAATTCCACAGAGTTAAGAAATTCATGTGAGGAGCATTCACAGAAGATCTAACACTGTACGAAAAGCTACTTTTGTTACATCCATGCAATAAGAAAAATCAGTTCTAACGTGAAATTCCCTTTATTGTTTCAGTACAGATTCTCTTCTAAACCTCAAGAGATTGAATTGTTAATAAAAGGTACAAAACTCAATTCCCAGTTTTTATAAGTTAAAATACTTTTCAACAAATCAGTTTCACTTTTTTACCAATATGTTTCCCAACAAAGATAAACAAGACCCTACTAAGTCAGATCCCTCCAGAAAGTGCCTGCTGTCATTGATTTGTTTACTTTATGCTGTAATAAGCCTGTACTTTCCTTGATCAGTTTCTGATACTATACAATGCTGAAGTTGCTCTTCTTACCTTTGATGTCTCTCTCAGCTAACAACTACAGGCAATGTGGTTTCTCTTAAACCACCCCTACATAGAATCATAGAATGGCCAGGGTTGAAAACGACCACAATGATCATCTTGTTTCAACCTCTTGCTACATGCCTGGTCTTGCTTCTGGATTCTTTGTTGTTTGTGGTTGCTTCTGACACCTGAATGCTGCATTTCTGCACCAAGGTCTGTCAGTCATTCAGCCAAGTCTGACTCCTGGTGGGTCTTTGTGTAAATCACTTATATTTGAAGAATAATGCCAGCCTTCCAGAGCTCCTTGTCCCTTCAGAGCTGCCTCCCATGAGATGCTGCCTACCAGTACACAGGCTAAACAAGTATGCTCACCTAAATTTCCACACCTGAACTCCTTGCGTGCCACAGGCTCTTGTTTTCCACTATTTCATAAGCATTATAGCAATAACTGCCAATGATTATCACCCTGCTATACAATTCTTCTCACTGAATCAGCAGATCCAGCTGTGTATCACCCATGGATGATCCCATCTAGAAATTTCCCTGACATCAGTCAGACATTATATGGACCACTGTTACCATCTTGTTTCCTGGTCAATGACATAAATACACAGGGACCACACTCTGTTCTGAGAGAGTAAGGGCTTTGTAACCTGATGACACCTCAGGCTAACAGGCTGTGGGAAGATGCTAACCTTGCAGTAAAGTTACCTCCAAACTTTTTTTCAACTCACTTAATCTGATCCTGGAGAATGGTCTATTACAGCAATACAGACAGCAAATAATGACCTAAAGATGTACTACTGATGGTTAAAAGAAATGATATTCACATAAGTCGTGAACTGAATGGCATACCACAGGAGAAAAAATACATGAAAAGGAATGTTTTTCCTACTTAGACATTTTTGCTTCAGCACTCTATGATTACCACTGTGAGCTTCAGAGATGACATCAAATCTTGTGTCACTAAGGAGGATGCACATCTCCAAAGAAAGGGACAAATATTGTAGAGCAAGGAGCTTTGCAGCAATTTTGCTCCTGCCTGGTGAATTTCCTACAGTCATAGTAGCCAAATTATGGAGGCCAGAAAGGAAAACCTGTTGCTCACACAGTGTTTTATGGTTTCACATGGTTCCCTATACGTATACGAGAAACTGACACTGACAAATGCCTATTTTGGATATTCAGCTGCAGCCTGGGTATAAGCTGGTGCAGTTTTACTTTGTTACTGATAGCAGAGCACCAGCCTGCACAGCAAAGCTCCTTCCTTGTTGGTCTTCCTGACCACATTATCATAAGGTATTCAAGAGGTGCTGCCTTCAGCACTTGGAAAAAGTATCTCTGAAAAATAGTAGTTAAAAAAACCCTAATCAGTTGACCTTCAAATAATCCCAGTGCAAAATCTGTGGAACACATTTACAAAAATATGAACCTTTTAACTCTTAATGATGCAATACATGCACACAGCCAAAACGTGTATCTCTCTTTGCCGTATCACATAACTGCCTCTTTCCTTATTCAAAATCACAAAAGCCCAGGACCAGTTCTTCATCTACCACCATTTATTATCTAAAATAGTGAAATTTCTAGCAATTCCAGCTGTTCCTAAAAAAAAAAAAAAAAAAAAAAAAGTAAAAGAAACAACAAAGGAAGACTCCAAAACCTCAGATCTTCCTGCCACTTTGTTGTATTGAATCAAAAATAATGTGACTCCTGCTCTCCTGACATCAACTCTCAACTTTATTACCAATACCCAGTTCCTGTTTCCAGACATTCTAGTATCTTCAGATCAACTTCCTTTCTCAGCATATTATCACTCAAACCCGGCCACTAGTAGCAAAAAGCATAAAAATATAAGAAATGCTGAGTTATATCAAAACTACTTCAATCTTCATCACTAATATCAGGCAGCAGCAAACACTTCAGAGAATGAATCTAAGAAACAATTCTGGAAAGGAGTGTCCCTTCCTCTCAGTAAATCACATTTTCTTTCAGCAAATAGGAGTTCAGTAGCTACAGAAAGCAACTGAAATGGTGTTTTGAATAGCTGAAAGTGAACTGAAACAAAGGCTTGCATTTGTTATTGAAGGAGAACCTTACAAACATAGTTTGTTCTTTCCAATCCCTTACTCTTCTTCTCCCTATCAAGAATCAAGACAATCATACAAACAAAAAGCAGGATTCAAATATACCTACCACAACTGGGAGGAAGGTGATTCCTTAGCAGGGATACCTGAGAAAGTTTCCTTTCACACCAGCATGAACAGAGGAGCTGAGGAATTTCTGGTGCATATTTTACATTATTTCAAGTTTTTTTTTTTTTTTTTTTAAATAAGTACACATCTGTATTAAACAAAAGTGCAGCTTAATCCTCTGAAAATGTTTTCTGTAATTAGAGGGGAGAAGGTCTGGTTCTGCTGTCTTTCTTATTCATTGAAGACAACTTCCCAAAAACTGCAAAAGGAAAATGGGAAAAGTCCATTGCCTCTCACAAATGTGTAGAGGGGACATGAAAAATAACTAACAGTTGTTCCAGATAACTGGAACTTGGGTGAGGAAAAGTGATAAACATAACCCAAGGTCTCCTAAAAAGGACTACATTGCCTAGTCAAGAATCAGCAAAATGCTAATTTCAAGGATTTTGGTTGAACTTCTGTGAAGAGCCTGGCCTGTTCAAATATGCTGAAATGAGTTCACAGGAAATTTTACTTAACGTGACTTTCTTTTAGGACGTTAATTAAACTACACATGACAATCATTGACCAGAGAACCAGACTGGAAAAAAAATTTCAATTTTTATCCCCATCAGAACACTGATGATTTTATTAATACAGACAGTTCTGTTGATAATTTAGTTTCAGGGACATACTTTGACATAAAAGAAGACATGATTTATGCTTGTTTTTTTCTGTCTTAATAACTCAAACTTGAGAAAATGTATTAAGTTTCTTTAAAGATAAAGAAAGAACCTGAAAGTTGAGAGAGTCACCCGAGATTGGATTCCTTCATTTCCCCAAAAGGCTTCCTCCTTTTCAGACTGCTGCACCCACTAATACAGCTCTCTGTGGCCCTCTTCTGTTCGCTTTCCTCACATATAGATTCTTTTTCCCCATCTGCCATACCATCCCAATGTACCTCTCAGTTCCTCTCATGCTGTACACCCTAGCACTGTCAGAAGTACTCATTTGTCACGAAAACCCTGTTGAGAAGCTGGATGGACATCCAAACTACTTTTAATATCATTCTCTTACTCTACCCTATAGCCAGAAAGGAATCTCAAGCACTCCACTGAAACCGCAATAATGTAGAACATAAAAACAAATTCTTGTCTAATGTAAACATAAAAATGAATCCTTATCTACAAAAAAATTCTGCCTAAAAATTCCTTTACTGAGATCTTCTGTAATGTATTCTTTTCCACTCTTTTTTTCATGCACTTTGGATCTGAAAGCATGTGAATGAACACGGTTTTAATAACACCAAACTGGCTATTACCCATATGTTGCAACAAACTCCTCTCCTACAAATTGAAGTGGATATAATATCTTAGATGCAGTTCAATCTTTCCCAGTTGTCTCAATGTTCTAAGATCTAAGTTAAAGCTGAGCAGAGTAAAGGTTTTCAATCTGTACACTTATCCAGAATCTTACCTATGCTATAATGGGTAGCATTTCAAATCCTCGAATATTCAAAGTTTTATAGCATTTTCTATGAAACTGAAATACGTATGAAAATATAAAATTGAAGCTAGATCTTCAAAACAAAGCTTGTAAGGTTCTTAACGAATTTATTTGCCCATTTTAAATGGATTGGGTTTGTTAAAGCACACGCTCTAAAAATTTACAACTTAAGCAGAAACATTTGGGAACATATAACACATGTCTGTATGTTTACACTGTCCCCAGTAGTAACTGACCTCCATGCACTTACTTTCAGGGTGTGCAGGGTGTCTGTCCATTCCATGGAACCTATCTGAGGTATAGCACTCAGGAGTATGCTAGTAGCCTTATTTGCATTTTCTTTCAGCGTCTTTAAAACTTTATCCACTGAAACCTAGAAATACAACAGAACAGAGCAGTATTTCTCAATTTTCAGGGCACAAATTTTAAACCTCCAGCTAGACTAAGCAAAAATGTGGAGCACAGAGAAAAGCACAGTATATATCTTAAAGTGCCAAGATCCTTCTAACTAGTAAGAACTTTCCTGTGACTGTATCTTTGACTGTATTTTTTACCTTGCTTCTGATTCTGTGAACTTTGTACTTAAAAAGTGAATCTTTTCATCTGAACACATTAGAAGTAGTATCACTGGTGAAGAAACATCTGCTTTCTAGCCGTATTTATGCATCATAATAACAATAAACAAAAATTAACATATCTAGATAGTGATCATCTAAAAAAAAAGAAAAGGCAAAAGTTAGGCAAACAAAACAGTAAAGTAAACAAAACTTCTGTAGAATTTCAATTGCAGAGAAATTTGTTTTCTCTATGCCACAGGAAGCTTTAAGCAAGATGTCACATGGATGTCTTTTTTGCAGCACAGCACATGTGAGTTTTAACCAAATACTTGATATTTTTTTAAATTTCTATGAACATTAGAAGATTAAAAAAATATTTTAGATAGTCAGCAATTCATCTTAAGAACAATAAATATGTTGAGTAAAATCAGATTCAATTCAGTACGTGACCTCTGTCAAAAGCTACACACAGGTTCTCATCCAGACCCTTCTGGACAAAACGTAGAGGAAAAAAGTTTCACTCACTGCTTCTTCATGCTCCTTCCAGCAGTCATAATCTGTTGCCATAGCAATACTTGCATAACTCATTCCAGCTTCTTTTGCAAGAATCACTTCAGGCACTGTGGTCATGTTGATAACATCCGCTCCCCAGCTGCGAAACATCAAGCTTTCTGCTCGAGAACTGAAACGTGGTCCTTCAATGGTGATCATTGTCCCCTTGGAGTGACACTGGAGCCCAAGTTTCTTTGCAATCTCAATAAGAACCTGCAAAACATGCCAATATCAGGAGAAGCAAGTAACTCCCTTGATGCACTGCTTCACATCTCACAAAAAAGTCCCCCAAAAAACAGCTGTTACAAAAGAAGTTAGCCTGAAACCAAGCAGTTGTGATTCACTTGGCTACAGCTGTCCAAATACAAAGATCATTTTCAGTTTTCTCATCCAATACAATAAATTAATGATCCTACTAATAGGAATGATCTTGGACTCACCTGAGTTTGTATCAGCTGGATTACTGTTTTCAGTGTAGGAGAATGGAAAGCAGAAACATTTAGCATGATTATTTAGGCTTTACTTTGAGAATAGAATGGTGGAAAAGCTAAATGCTGATGCTACTAAGGCTGCCTTGCCATAATGGTAGAGCTCAAACGGGAAGAATATGAAACTCATTTTTTGAAAGTCTACTGCTGGCAGAAGTATAACCATATGCTTCAAAAAATACCCTGAAAATGTGAAAATAAATTACAACATTCTCCCATGCTACTCACTGAGCTGTACACTTTTGCAATAGTCTTTCTATTTCCGAGAGGACCTAGTATGTGCAGAATCGCCATGACTTCCCTTCTTGGAAAATAGCCTGGCAACAGTTGATACAGTAAAAATGAGAGTGTAAAAGCATGCATAAAATGGGCCAAGGAAAGCCACAACTGTCTTGAGTGTGCTACATGATCTACTGAGGTGATTTCTGACTTGGCATGCGGATCAGGGGGTTGTTAGGAACAGCACAAATACCCATAGGCTGGGATACCCATATCTCCTTCAGCAGGGAGACAAATAGGCAAACCTCTTCTTCAGAAAAGAGTGGGTATGCTTCTAACTCACATGTGCTGAGGAAGGGCATTTGTGCATGCAGCTGTATGAACACATATAGATAGCATAAAAGAGAGATGTGGAAGACTAGCTACAGGAGGACTCATAGAACTTTGTAGGTGCTTATTAACATGCTGTTGCTAATTACTCCTTGTACTGATTCCAAATGTGAAATTCATTGACTGCCTATTAATTAGGTTAATAAATCAATAAACAACTCCATTTGTGATCTGACTTAAGAGAAGCTACCACTTAATTCCTTGCAAGATACTGCTGTGAGTTTCTGAAAGTAGTAACAACCAAGGCAGCCTATGGTAGATACTTTCTGATTCTCATTTGATTTATGGTGTGTAAGCCAAATAAAATGGAACAGTTCAACATATTTGCAGAAATACAATTTAATAAAAACTTTTCAGATTTTTTATATAAATTCCTTAATTAGCCCAAAACATAGCTGTTTTGGTATTATTATTAGTGCATTTAGATATGATGTTTCTCTGAATTGTGATAAAATGGGCTGAAATCATCCCAACAATTTCAGGAACATTTCCAGAAAAATAAATAAGTAAATAAATTATATCACTTTTATCTGGTATCTCTTTTCATGCTCTCCAGAAGCTCAAAACCACATGTTCATTTAAAACATCTGTTAGGCTGATTAGAATGCACAGGCTAATGAGATAATCACCACATGTCAGACTGGAAAGTACCTAAATGTTTGTTCTCTGAAAAGGAGCATTTCTTTGGCTTTTTTTACAAAAAATAATACCCAAAGAGCATTGTTTATAGCTGTTCAGCAATCAGATGAAAACCTGATGTATATGTTTCTTGCAACCTCAGGAAATTACTTATGTCTATTTAAACTTTTTAAAAACAAAAAGAAAAGAAACATAGTGTGATGTATAGCCAATTATTTCAGTAGTAACATTTTTTAACCCATTATATAAACATACAGTTAGCTCTCAATAAACAACTTGTGTGTCTTGTGGCACAACATCATGCTCAGAGTCAGTAAGCAACTATGTGCCAACTAATTTTTGTTAACAGCATGTGGGTAGGCTCTTGCTGCTTGAAAAATTCAAATCATTTTGTATTGTTTGCAGCCCAGCATAAGGAGGGTAGTGCAGGTACTTTATAACATAACTGTTTCCTCTTCAGCTTTAAAATGTCTGTAACTGACTGCAGAGAGAGTAAACCTGTTGGATGGATATGACTAATTCTGCAGATTCCTGTTCTCCTTGAGTATGTGACTCCCTGCAGCTTCTGATCAGACCATTCCACAAAAATACAAAACACCGAATTCAATCTTCTCTTTCCTTTTTCCTCAGACTTAAGAATACAATAAGAAGGTATATTTAGTCATAGATACACACTTCCCTGAGAGGTTTTAATTGTATTGAAAAACAGCAATATCACAATATTCAGTCTGAATGTTTTTGACATTTGAAAATCCTGGAGTCATTAAAAAAAAGGAAAGCAAAATTTAATTAAAGACAACTGTAATTTGGCTCGTGTCTACACTTAACATCAGATTAACAAACTCTTCACTGTCTACCACTACCAATTGCTACAATGCACAAAAGCACAAATGCAATATTGGCACTTCTGTGAATGTAGTACTGTTCTTAGTTCTTTGTACTTTAAGTACACAGAGTGCCCCAGCCACAGATGCTGTTTCATTCAGCATGAAAAGGAATTAATTCCTAAATCTGCCTTCCAACTTTGTTCACACAGGTTCTCTTTCCCTGTTATATGACAAAAAAAAATTTCACCCTTCTGAAATCTAGGATGCCAACTGTCTTTTTAGAGTGTTCCACATATCTGTACTAGCTCCAATAATCAAAGATCTTTTACTTTCCATGTCTTCCAATTACATTTTTCTTTAATACTTATGTGAATAACAGCAACATCATTTTCATGGCACTCCTCTGGACTCTCTCCAATATGTTCATGTTGCCCTTATAAGAAACCCAGAACTGGACCAGGCACTAGAGCTGAGGCATCACCAGTGCTGAGTGGAGGTGGAGAGATGGAGATCATCTCCATATTCTGATGGTGGCTAATTAGAGTACTATATTATAAATAACAAGCATCATAAAACACAACATTTTAAAAAACATCTTTATAATTCACTAACCTCTCTGGTTTTAGTGCAGAATGGCTCTGACATTGGAATATGACACACTCCCGAGAGACTGCAAGATTGACCATCATATAAAGTACAATGCCTTTTATTTGTCCTGGAAAAGTAGAAAACATACTCTAAATGAAGATCAGGGATCAAACAGAACAGAAAACAATACTTATGGAAGGGAACAAAAATATCCACATGATAGTAATGGCTACCTATACTTACAGAATGACAGAATGGCTGAGACTGGCAAGGATCTTTGGGGTAATTTGGTCCAGCCCTGTGCCTAAGCAGGGACATCTACAGCAGGCTGCCCAGGACCATGTCCAGATGGCTTTCAAATATCTCTAGGGAGTGAGATGCCAGAGTTTCTGTGGACAATCTGTGCCAGTGCTCCAATGTCCACATGATAAAGTAGTGTTTTCTGATAATCAGAGAGAACCTCCATTGTTCCGGTTAGCGTCCACTGATTCTTGTCCAGCCACTGGGAACCACATAAACCCACCTGGCTCTGTCTGCTTTGCTGCTTTCTTTGCGTATTAATACACACTGGTAAGACCCTCCACTGAGCCTTCTCCAGGCTGAAGGCTCTGTCAGCCCTTCCCCATAGGGAGCATTCTCTAATTCCTTCATCATTTTCATGGCCTCCTTTGGACTCTCTCCAATATGTTCATGTTGCATTTGTAAGAGAAAACCCAGAACTGCATCAGGCACTAGAGCTAAGGCATCAATAGGGCAAAGTGGAGGGGAAGGAAGCATCACTTCTTTCAATCTGCTGACAATACTTTGCATAATGCATCCCAGGATACCATGAAGCCCTCTCTGCAGCAGCTCATGTATAAAGTGATTTGAATATAAAGACAAGCTTTATTTTACAATTTTTGTCTTTAAAAATTTCTACTTCTAAACATAAAATGGAAGAAACTTATGTATATTTATTACCTTTATTCTTCCATTAAACAATGGAAGACACAGAATGTTTCTGTAGGAAATGGTCAGAAAAGAGAGTACTTTATTTTTTATGTGGAAATTCAATTTTGCCAAAACAGCCTAATGCAATCTAAGACTTCACCAGATTACAAACAACGACAACATCACTCATTTCAGGAAATTAAGAAGATATGCTGTCCAAACACAATGGGAAGTTAGAAATTTGAGTGGATTCCATGGTGTGGGTTTGCGGTGCACAAATAATAAACTATGCTTTTTTTAAGAAATATTTTTTTAACTGTAATTTTCAGCACTAGCATATGTATCTCCATCTTCCCCACAAACAAAGACATGCTCAACTGTTAAATTTTAGAAACGACTTACTGAGATAGAACACGCTTTTGAATACTAAACATGAAAAGAAGCAGTTTTATTTACCTGCTTGGCATGTTCCTGTGTTTGCAAAACAGAAAGTCCCCAGTCATGAAACAAAACTGAATACAACAAAACTGAGTAGAATGAGAACAATCTGAAGTCAAAGGCAACATAACAGACCATTTTTCACTAGCCCTTTTAACACCGTATGTCTTCTTGATGGCTGCATTAGCAAGACCTTGTTTATATAAACAAGAGAAATTAACACTGTGCAGTTTGGATTTGCCAAGTTCAGTTCCACACCCAAGTCATGAGCTCATCAGCAAATACTTAAATGAAGGTTGTCATATATTACAGTAGATTTGAAAAAAATATGTAACTTACTCTCAAGGAAGAAGTTATATATTTGGAAGAGAGTTCAGTAAATTAAAAATACATGCTAAACAATCTATAGTTTTAAATTTGGTTGAAACGGTAATATTAATTTTTCCCCTACAACACCATGAAGAGCTGCAATCAAAATCTGATTTGACATCTCTATTTCAAGTGTTTGCTAATGAATTATTTAGAATTGGAGGGATGGGAAAATCATAATCAAATTCCTGCATTATAGTATTTTACATGTTATTAGTTGAGCCCTTTTACTTAGAGCAGTGTTCATATATCAGATACCTAAGAGATCACTTAAGAAAAATCACATGTACAAACATGTATCTCTGAATTCTGGGTACCCTGTTTTTTGGAGAGAACAGACATATCACTAGATGGTCAAACGAGAAATCCTACTATGTTTAGCACCATACATACAAACTGCATGGGAATAAACCATGAAGATAAGACCAATGGCTGCTCTGATCCAGTGACAACTTGCATTTGCACTCAGGGTCTAACAATTTCCCTTCTATGTGGAAAGCTACAATTCTGCAAATGTCACAACTACTTGCTATGCTGCTATGCTTAGTGTTAAGAATAAACACATATTTGAACCAGCCTCTGTTTGTTGCTATCTATAAAGCAGTGGCTGGCAGAGAAGAGTACCTTTCAGCCTCTCCTGCCTGTTGTGTGTTACTTTAGTCAAGAGTTGGCCATCTTTATCTGTCCCACTAATCTGTCTGTAAGGCAGAGAACAACCGCACTAAATTTTTCAATGCTATAAATTTTTCAAAACTATCATTATTTTGTATTGACTAAAGAAAGCCGCACTGAGGGAACAGGAATTGTCCTAGGCACATATAAAACACATAATAAATTTAATGCATTTAAGTAACAAGGTTTATTTTTATATGTATTTCTTAATCAACATAAAAAACAGCAACAAAAACATAAGAGATTTTAGATCTTGTTTCTGAAACTAATACATCAGGTTCCTAAGAATGGCAGTGGCTGCCAAAACAAAAAACCAAACATGGTGTCAAACCCTTCCCTGTGGAGATGGAGTGGGCACAGAGTAATTGGTCCAACTTAGAGGGAGTTATAGATCATATAAATTCCCTCCATAAACTAACTCATATGGGGGAGGGAAAGTGAAAATCAATCATTTGTGCAGTTCTAAGAGCTGTTCTTACTGCTGCTGTAGAGACTGCAACCAGCAGCACACGGCAGAAACCCAAACTGTTCAGTCCTTGCAGAACTGGTCATACACCTGCAGGACCATGTAGAAGATCTTAGGGGACAGTCAGAGAAAGAAAAACATTCAGTTCTCCTTCAGCAAGCCCTTAGAGAACAGTTGGTAAATGAGAGGGAGATTAATTGTAGTTTCTCAGGGAGTGACTTTTATCTAGGAGAAAATATGGAGTATGTGAGAGCCCAAAAAGACAAATCAGAAAAGCTGGTGACACTTCTCTGCTCTCTGACAGAAACTGAGTATGCATATGAGGAGAGCGAAGGTGGGTACTCCAGTGTTAATATCAAGGAGGTTCCCTATTCTGCTACCAAGCTGGCCTAATTAAAGAAAGATTTTGGTCACGCCCCTAGGAAATGAGAGACAGAGTATGTGTGGAAAGTGCCACTAACAGGGGGAGCACAGATCCTGCTGACTGAAAAGAAATCAGAGGGTTATTGAGGACCTGGAATATTTTTCACCACTGGCAACCACCGTGCCTTGTGGTCCTTTACTCAAAGAGTTGCTTATTGGGATGATTATTCCCCAGGACAACTGGTGTTGATTGATTTGCCCCACATTGGTCCTGGCCTATTAACCCTCAAAGAGCCTCTTTACAAATACATCTGGAAGGGTCAAGACAACCAGAGGAAAATGTACAAAATTAACCATCTGGACTGTACCTACCTTCTAACTGTGGCTCATTTGGGACCAGGAAGTTTTTTTTTTTTTTTTTCCAGTTTTGCTTTCTCTCACCTTGGCTCTTCTGAAACTGGGAAGTTCTTTCTCTTTTGTTTTCCAGATGCTAACAAATGCTGATCCTGTTGCTGTGCCTCCCAAGTTCCCTTTCTCACCCTGCTCCTTTCCCTGAGATCACTGTTGGTATCATCAGTGTCACTGTTTCAGACTGGCATCTTCTTCAGATTAATTTTTGTAATTGCTTATGCTGACCCTATCACATTCATTGGCTGGTCATGATCCCATGCCCATATTGGGCATATTGGGCATATGGGACCAAATTCTAATTCTAACAGAGGCTTAACTCTTTCAACCATGGTTAAGCACAGTGATGAAATGCATTAGGAGATGAATGGGGCCAGGATAATGCTGGCTGACTTCCCCAATTCCTGGGAGATGCAAGACAAAGAATAAAATTAGGGTGTTGGATGCAACAATTAATCTATGTGCACTGCAACACCCCTGCAGCCTTCCCTGTCAGCACTGGGAACCAACAGCAATTCTTATCTAATGTATTATCTCAATGGGAAAGAACTAGCATAAAAGACAATCAGTTAATTGTAGATTCACTTGGCATAACTCAAAATAATGTCTTCCTAGCTCTTAGTAATAGAAGGTAAAGGAAACACTCTACCCATTAAAATTCAAAAGGTGATCTGGGACAATGCAAACAAATTTGAAAGAGAATTTCAATCTTGGTGACATTTAGTTAATTTTACTTATGATCCTGTTAATAACTATGCTACAGCTTTTGTCTTAACAATACACAATACTTCCATATACAGCATACACCCTTCCCTTCCCTTCCCTTCCCTTCCCTTCCCTTCCCTTCCCTTCCCTTCCCTTCCCTTCCCTTCCCAACAAAAACCCAAAGCTAATACAGAGGTATTCTTTTGTGTTCCCGTTTGTTGTTGTTTTTGATACATTCTTGTTTTGGTAGTAAACGGAACAGATTTGTAATCAGGTAGGTTGCTCCACTGAAGTGTCGCTTCATCGACACATACTGAATGCTTATGGAGACAAAACTGTGGCACAGTATGGTGGTGTGTGGTGCATTTCAGCAGTGGTGACAGCGACAGGGTGTCACCTTTGCAAGTGCAGATTTTGATGAGTGTGGAATGCAGGCTCTTGTTCACTGCTGGGAAAAATGCACAGCTTATGGTAGTGATGGTGTTGAAAAATGTTGTTTTGTAGCTGAGAATCTGCTCTATCAAGTAGTGTCATCATGCTCATTGTATCTGCTGTAATTTCCATGGAAATAAATAGGAGGCATTAGTTTCAGAGCAACTTATGTATATGTAGCCCAAGACAATTCTTATTCACTCAGTGCAGCTCAGGCAAGCCAAAAGCTGGGACACCCATGCATTAATATATATGGTATACTCTCCTTTGTCTGTCTCATATGACAAACGTATCTGAAGAATCTCATATTATTATTCTTCACATCCCTTGTCATATTCAGTTCTATCTGCACCCTGGCTTTCCTGATCCCATCCCTGCACACTTGAATAACACTCCTGTATTCTTCACAGGCAACCTATCCCAGCTTCCACTGCCAATACATTTCTGTATCTCTGTTTGGTCAGTAGTTTCTTGTTGAGCCATGCCAATTTCCTGCCTCCTCTGAGCAATCTGTGCCAGTGTCTTGTCATCTGCACAGCACAGAATTACTTCTTGGCATTCAGAGGAAATCTTCTGCCCCAGTCTGTGATCATTTCCTCTTGTCCTGTTAGTAGGTACTACGGAAAACAGCCTGGCTCAATCCTTTTTGCACCCTTCCTTGGGTATTAATATGCAGTGGTACCTGTTAGTGCTGGACACACTTTCCTGTCCTGCCTTCTTGTATCAATCTCCCTTTGTGCCACAAGAGCTGAGGTTATCACATCATCCTATAAAAGCTTACTACAACTAAGAACATAATTAAAAACAGCTGTTACTCACCTATCAATGAATTGGTCAATTATGACAAGATCCCCAGGTTGTATTTCTTCTCGTAATGAACCACAGGCAGTAGTCACTAGAATATGTGAACAGTTCTCTTCTTTTAATGCCCAGATATTGGCACGGTAATTTATATTTGATGGCATAATTGTATGATGCCTTCCATGTCTGCAAAGAAACATGTTGCCAGAGAGTAAAATAAATCAGAATGAAATTGCTTTCCTTCTCTCAAATAAACAGAATTCTAGGAAAAGTAATTTCTCAGAACAACACTAGAGATGGCATTGATCATATCAGCAACTTGCTTGTTTTCGCTATTGTATCAAAGTTGTTTCAATATTTGGTTCACAAAGTATCAAAGTGTTGCAGCTTTTTTTTTTAAGCTGAAGTTCATTTTAAAGTCTTTAAAATACAATCCAAATACAATTCAGCAGATTCGAGAGTTTTAAAGGCATTTTCACTGAATTCTGTAAACCATTTAATAGATTCTGAATATCTAGGCATAACAATACTAAATTTTCCATTTACCAGAACAGATCTCTAAGATTTATATGCACTGTACAGATTTTCTGCTCATAAGCAGTGTTTGTATTCTCCCACCCAGACGAGTGGCACATTACAGGTAGTTAAAAGGAGAAATCACAGAGTTTTAAGGTTACCTTCCCAAAGGAAACAGTAAGATCATCAGATTTACCAACTTGCTCTTAAAATGATCTGATAGCTTTCATAAATTAAAAGAATGACTTTGCATTGTTTTTTTTTTTTTTTTTCCACCAGTACAGAAAATAATTAGTCTTGAAGCAGAAGCTTTCATTTTATCTCTGCCGTAACAGCAGAGATACATTACATCTATAATTATAAAACACATTTGAAAGATATTCCCAACCATGTAAGAGGAAAGAAGGAACTTAATTTTGTGATTAACTCCTTCACAGAGACTAAAAGGTTTTAAAACTTGATCAGTTGGGAACTGGGAGCTACACACGGCATCACCAAGTACTGTCAGGCAGCCATTAGCATTTCTGATAAGCTACGAAGTGTGTAGACTTACTGAGTAGTATTGCAGATGTTATAATCCTTTATTATATATGGTTTTTAAAAAAAAAATTTTTTTTTTTCAAATCTGACATTCACAAGTTACCTTTTTTTTCCCCCTCCAAAACACAAAACAAAGGTGCAACTACCTTGGTCTCATCAACTCTACCTGCTTGAGACTGTTGAGGGACCTTGGTATCAACATCTGGCTCAGTCTATGCTGTATTAGTGTTCTTACATATAATCTAGAGCACACTAGTCTCATATATACACTTCAGGTAAGCCACTGTGAAATTTCTGAGCATTCACTGGATGCTCCCAGTATCTTCTGAATAAGCTGACCCAGCAACTACATAGAACACAACCTTCTAAGCAATAAAATTAGCAGCCAGAGGATTCAAACAGTGATTTGAAAGATTTTAAAAAGTACCAAATACACAGTTCACCAGGAAACAGACAATTTTCCTTTTTCACAGATCTGCAAACACAGACAGATTACTGAAATTTTTCTTCCAAAGTCTAGATAGTATTGTTAATGTTTTTAGCCCCTACATCATTAAATCTATCCAGGAAAAATTCAGCCTTCTGACTGGCTTTGTGAGCAACCATATAGGGCAAGAACAGGTCAGAATAAAAATTTATTCACCTAATATAGAAGGAAAACACTTCAAGACATAATATTCCTTAAAATGCTAATTTACCTTGCCAACAGCACACAGTCCACATTTTTTATCTTTCCCAATATCAAGGCATCTGATGGCTACAAAACAAGCAAAAATGAATTAGGTACTGTCTGCCTACCACATCAGAAATCTTTACCTCTGCTAAAAAATAAGCAGGATGGTTATGAAAGGAAATACTAATTACAGAAAGGAAATACCTCTGCAGTCTTACATTGTCGTCAGCTCACAATAAGTCTGTGATTTGACTGCCAGATTTATTAATGAGAGTTTAGAACTGGAAGATCACTTGGCATCAAAAGGATCACCACAGTTTTTCTGTGTTCATACTAACAACAATTGCAACCCCTTACTTTGTGGTTTTAAACAGTACTTTGAAACACTGATACTTTCAAATACTTCGACATAGTATTTCAAACAGAACAGAATGAACATAGAAAAGAATAATAAGTAGCCTTTACATCAGTTAATACATTTCACTCTCTCCCATAAAACTATATTTCTTTTTTGCAAAAAGTCATTCCCTCCAGAAACCCCCCTTCCAACAGGAATCACTTTTAATCTGTCCCTTCCCCTATCATTTCCCATTGTCCCCTTTCAGTCATCAGCTCCTAGCTCATTCTCATGTTCCAGACTCCTCTAACCCACCCTTCCGCTGCCCATGCTTCCCATAAAATTCCTCTTCCCCGCCTTTTGAAAGTGAGCTTTAATCTGACAAAACTACCCAGAGAAGCAGGGTTGCACTTGCTCAGCCTAGCATGTACTCTCTTTTCACAGCTACAGGCCAACACACATTTCTCCTGACTAGCTAGGAAGCTTGAGCCCTGCATCAGTTGATCTCAGGCCAGCAACTGCTAAATAAACTGTTTTGTGGGCTGTATTCTCCTTCTGGGCTGTATGCTCCAGGGATCTGAAATGGACATTCTAGCTTCCCATCTTCAAAACTTTTTGTAAAAAATATGTAAAGACTCTGTTTAGTTAAATGCTTCTGAACACTCGTGCAGTTGTATGTGTTGCTTCTCCCCCTCAATTCAAAACTTCATCCATTTTTTTTTCCTTATTTCAGTTTATAAGAAATAAGAAAGAATATAGGAAAGAATAAGAAAGCTGCTGGAGGCCACTCTTCCCGGGATTTAAAGCTGAAATAGTTATTAACAGCACTGTCATTTATATTCTGAAATCAAGCTTGCAAGTGACTCAAGAATTCACACATTCACATTTAGAAATGTCTACTGTCTACTACTTGATATATTTTTTATACTTTATTGCAAGCTATAAGATTTCATTTTTCACTTATAGTTGTTAATTCTATTAAACATAAAATATGCAGAGATTTAGAATTAAAATAAATGTAAGTCCTATATAATTGCATTTTAGAAATTTTTACTTCTAATAACAGTATCACCTCCTATTTCCTACTGCACAAGTCTATTTGATCATTCTTAATGTGGTATCTCTTCAAAGCACTTACTGAATCACCTAAGTTTAAATTCTGCCAGAGACTAACCATCTTTTTTTTTAATGTAGAGTGTTTCAGAGAAGCTGTTTTCAGAATTGAAGTGTATATTCTGCGTCCATTTTAAGTTTCCATTTTAAGAGGTCTCCATTTGATATTAAGTTGTTGACATTTAAATGTTTAACCTTACTTTATGTATACTCTTATGCACCAGACGTGGCTACAGGATTATAATTTTCACATGGGGAGAAGGGCTTACTGCCTACTTGCTAAGGCAATTTGCTCCTCCAGCATTCCATAACTATGATGGATCACAACTATTTGTGTTTGAGATTTTGTTTTTTGGAGATTTGCCATGTGAGGTAATAAGCAAGCAAGCTAGGTCACAGCACAATACAGAAAACAATTCAGAACAAAGAACATGATGCTAAATTATGAGCTGAGATTATGAAAGGAGTTTGGAAATACCAGGATAAGTAAAGTTAAAAGGATGTGAATGATACAGAAATATCAAACTGTGTTAACTACTCAGCAGAGCTAATGTGTTCTTCAGTTCTGCTCATTTTCTCATGCAATCTCTTTGCAGCACTGTATTTCTGCACCACTACTTCAGCACTGAAGAGCTCTGAAGTGCTGGTAGAATAAAAAAAAGTTCCAAAGGAACAATCTCAATCCAAGCTCTACCACAACTACATCCCAGCCATGCCCCATCTCCACCCCCAGAATGTCCTGCCCTGGGGCATGGCGAGGCTGCAGTGCCCTCCTGTCAAGTAGTATGGCACTGTGCTTCATTTGTGAGGAAATCTTGTCTGTTTTCAAAGATTTCAAATAACAGAACTCAAATACGTGTGTGAATTATTAACTCCTTCCTCCTTCCATAAAATCCGAGTCGTGTATCTATTACTCAGTGTTGCAAAATGGAAAAGGAAGGAAGGAACCCTGTGCGGTTAACCCTAAGTTATGACAGTAACAAGCAGTTTAAACCAATGTCCTCTTCACAACATAAATATGTTTGTGGTGCTCACAGAATTCATTCATTCCAGTGGCCTAAGCTCGGAAGCAAGATGGAACAGAAAACAAAATGAATAGAAAAACCTTAACAGGAAGAAGGATCTCACAGATTCCCCAAGCCTGCAGTCACAGTTTTATGAAACAAATGACTCGTGTGCTTCTGGGAAGGCAGGAGACCAGAGTCAGTATTATCTGGTTTCCCGCTGCCAGCACACAGAGCGCATGTGCAGAATAAAAAAGAACCTGCTTTGTTTGCCAGAGAAACACATAAGGAAAAAAGGAGGGGAACACAATAGAATATTCTAGAGCAGGAAGAGAGCTATCATCCAGAAAGCAGAACCTTCTAATTGAGAGTATATTCTGAAGAAAGTTTTATTAATAGCTTCAAAATACACTGCTGAAAATAAATGCTGTTGCAAGCCATTTTTCTGTCCATATACAACGATGAAATGCCAAAAGGTTTTGGGGTGTTTACACTAAATACTGAATTTTCATCCCAGTGTTTTATGCAACGGGAATGATGGAAGCAGAAAAAATGAGAAGGCAGAAATATACAGGTGAAATTGTGTGCATATATATTATATATATATATATATCTATACACAATATAATTGATAAAACTAATTTACTGCATTTCCACCATTATTACTATCATAACTTGAAAGATTGGGGAAGACCAACACTGATACAAAGAAAATGCAAAAACTTTTGTATTATTTTCCTTTTTCAGGAACTTTTCCAAATTTCTGGAGAGAAAAAAAATGTCCACTTGGTTTTCAAATGATTCTTAGAACTCAAGATGATCAAAGCAGATGACAGACAGTTCAAGGAATTTATTTGAGCAAAATGCATGCTATTACTGTGTTCCTAAAGGCAAAGAAGTAGCATTAAAAAAATAAAAAAAAAAATGTATTTTGCCATTCTCAAATTGTCAAAGGTGTCAAGGAACATCACCCACACTGAGGTTTTCAGCAACAAGCCTTTTTCTAAAGTTCTTCCCAAGACACATAACAATTAAACAACAACATGTAAGGAGAGTGGAACTGTGCTCTTCACATTTTTACAGCGTAGAAAGAAATGAACATACATGTTTAACTATGCTCTCCATTTTCCCTTTGGCATTTAGACTTTCATTTTGCTACTTCCTAGTTTTGCTTAAACTATATAGACTTCATGTTGGATCTTAATACTATCACTAGTTAAAAGACCACAGAGACCTGAAGTGTTTATTAAATTAGGTCCTTTACTTACTAAATTTTCAGGCAGACTCCCTCTCCTTAGTTTTCAAGGCTCTGTGAAAAAGCATCTTTATGGCAGAAAAAAAAACCAGTTTGGTTTTATATCAATAGCAATCATGATGAAGAAGATGATGCATCTTTAAGAAAAAAAAACCCCACACTTCTAAACTTTTCCACATATACCTAAAAAAAAAATAGCTCTTTTTTCAATTTTGCATTGTGCAATGACAGCTGCTTATTTCTGTTGCTCTAAAATGAGAATAGCAAACTGTGTAGCTCCTCCTTTCTCAATGCTCAAACAGGCAAATATTAATTCACCTAACGATACCTATTACATTGGTAAAGTTTGCTTCTGCTCTGTCTTAACAGAACCAATTCAACCCATTTACTGCACCATAAGCCGCTGTACTTTCTGACCCAACCCTTGCACACCTTAACATTCACCAGCTCCGTAAGGATGAAAAGTGCATTCATTCAAACATTAAAGTTAATGCTGCTCTATAGAGGAGATTCTGAGGGCAATTTTAAAGCACTCAGGCTCTCTGGTCTTATAACACTACTGAAAATCTCAGAACCAGTTCTTTCTAAAAACTTCCTGTGTCAACTAGAACTTCTCTCTTCCCTTTTCCCTGTCCATACTCTCCAGTCCTTTGTCTTGCCTGTTCCTTTGTGTCTTTCACAATACACTAGGCACTGTGTACAGAGCAACATCTTCAGCTCCCACTCCCTTTTGCAGAAGAAAATGGCTGAAGCAATATGAAGGAGAGCTGATCATGAATACCTTGACACACACGCAGTTTCTAAGCGTTGTTTTCAAATCTGTTTCAAACGATGCAGTTGTAAGCAAGACTGCAAGGACAACACTATATAAAGTGTATAAAAGTATAATTAAGGTTTTACAGGGAAAACAGGCTCATATACCTCAAAGAATATTTTTCTCCAAAGTAAAAAGGTTCCTTGAGCTCTCTGACATATAGTGCAGGCCACACAATAGCACAAATATGAAAGAGGCTAATCACTCTTGACTGCAAATTCAGGACTGAGTTTGTAAATGAATCCAATATACAAAGAGGTGTATTCTCCTTTGCACACCATCATCTTTTTAAGAGTTTGTAAACAGCACATAGCCATAAAAAGGAAACAGTCCCGTGACAGTATCCATTTAACACAGAAGCCTGGTCTAACAATTCTTCAAGCACATAAACATCTTTAAAAATGGGGAAGAGTCTTGTAATAATAAAACATGTTATACAGACCTTGCCATAGGGAGTATCAACATATTTTTCTGTTCTTTCTTCTAAGATATCTGGATCGTCCAGGCCAGTTCCACCAATAATTCCAATCTTAAAAAGAAAAGTACATTATCAGCCTTCTTGAAATTACACTCCATTTAACAATGTATCTCAGGAACTACCCGGGCAGCTCCAAATCATATTTTCTGCTTGAGATGGGGCTAGACTATGCAATTTCCCAAAAATAAATTTGCAACGACAGGAGTTTAAAAAAATTTATTTATCTTGACAATTTCACACCATATGATTATTTTCTTTAAAGATATCAAATTAAAAAAGCTATGAAAAATATCTAAAAAGATATGCCAATTCATCTTTTTTTTTTTTCCCAACAGGAAAATGAGAGGTATTTTTTGGGAATGTCTCTAATGAGACATTATCTGTATAAAGCATACAATAAAGGCTCCTTGTTTCCAGAGGGAGGAGAAGTCCTGTACGTGACTGCAATACCAAATACCAGATAGTATTATATACTGTCATACAAACTTTTTTTTTCCCCTGAAAAATTATAAGTCTTTTGAGTTGACTAGCAAAGACCCAAGAACCATCTTGATTCTGTAAAATGTTTCTGTACGTCTTTGGAAAAGGAAGACAGCCAGTAGTACCTGAAATGAAAGGAACCTGCTAAAAGTGTCAGCTGCTTAGAGCACTGCTAGGCTTCTCTGCACGTACACAATTAGTTCTTCTAGGATGTTAAAAAGCTAAGATACTCATTCAATATTTGCCCACAGCAGCATCAGACATTCTCTCCTCTGTATGTTGGGGTCAGATTTTATTCAACGCACAACCTTAAGTAGAAACATAAGCAGACTCCTACTTTCTAAATTTAATCCTTTGAAGTTAATGTATTTCTTCCAATTTTTTAATGAAATAAACTGATAGTTCTAAAGCATAATGGAATGAAAAAGAGAGGGTCTAGCAGGGGACAACTCAAATGTATTTCACTTTCTCGGGCAATCAGGTTGGAAGTACACTGTTGTGTTTTGATACAGCTTATACTTATTTATACATAGGTATGAAATGAACCACCAAGGCAGAATAGAAGGGACCAACCACCTCCCTTGACCTGCTGGCCACCCCATTTTGATGCAGCCCAGGATACTGTTGACCTTCTGGGCTCCAGCTTTGGATTTACTGGAAGGCCTAAGCCTTTACAGTGCTGCTCTCAGTGAGATCTCCCAGTCTGTATATATATCAGGGGTTGCCCTGAACATGCAACACCCCACACTTTCACTTGTTGAACCTCCTTAGGTTACTCTAGGCCCACTTTTCAAGCATGTCCAGGTCCCCCTCAGTGGCATCCGTTCCTTCTCTTGTATCAACTGCATCATTCAGATTAGTGTCATGCACAAACTTGCTGAGGATGCACTCAATTCCACTGTCTAGACTGCTAATAATGATGCTGTATAACACAAGTCCTAAGACTGATCCCTGTGGAACACTACTTGTGTCTGTCCTTCACCTGGACATAGACAGGTTGACTTTGACCCTTCTGACTATCCAATCAATTCTTTACCTGCCAAATAGTCCAGCCTTCCAATCTGTACCTATCCAATTTAGAGATAAGGAAGTGATGTTGGACTATGTTTAAAGCCTGGCACAACTCCAGGTAGACATCAGGTGCCCCTTCTTTGTACACCAAAGCTGCGACTCCATTACAGAAGGCAACAAATTGGTCAGGCATGATCAGCCTTTGATGAAGCTGTGCTGGCTGTTTTGGGTCACCTCTTCATCTTGTATGTTCCTTAATATCACCCAGGAGGACCTACTCCATGTTCCCCAGGCACAGAGGGGAAACTCACCGGCTTATAGTTCCCTTGGTCTTTCTTTATATCTTCTGTGAAAACAGAAGCAATGTTCCCCCTTCTCCAGTCACCAGGGACACTGCCTGATGGCCATGACTTTTCAAATGTGATGGAGAGTGGCTTGGCAATCACATAAGACAGCTCCTTCAGCTCCATACACATTCAGCCTCATGAGTCTCAAGTCTAATTTGATCTGCTTTTACAATTTTTCATTCCTTGATCCACGCCTACATCTTAAAGGATGTGTGAGGTATGGGAATCCTGATTGCCAGTGAAGAGTGAGGCAAAGAATATGTTGAGTACTTCAGCTTTCTCCATGTCTGTTTGCCAGTTCTCCCTTTTCCACTATCAGAGCATACGTGCTCTTGTCCTGTCTCTTCTAATCAATGTACTTGCAGAACATCACGTTATTTTTTACATCCCTTTCCAAATTGAGTTCCATCTGTGTTTTGGCTTTCCCGATCCCATCTTTTCATGTCCAGAAAGCATCGCTGCGTTATTGCCAGGCCATGTGTCCCTGCTTCCACTGCACATACCTTTCCTTTTCCCTTTTTTGACCAGGTCCTTGTTGAGCCATGCTAGTTTCCTGCCTCCTCTGCCTCATTTCTTATGCTGGACGATGGTGAGCTTTTGTGTTCTCAGAAAGGTGTCTTTAAAGCTCTGTTCTGTTCCTATTCTCCAAGCACAGTTTCCTAGAGGATATCATCCAATCATTCCTTGAGCAGCTTGCAGTTCTCTCTCTGAAGTTTGGGGTCCTAACTCTACTTATTCCCAGGCCTATATTCTTCAAGATCACAAACTCAACCAGAGCACGGTCTCCACCGGTTACACTGCCTCCAGTCTTAACCTCTTTAATGATGTGCTCTGCATGAATGAGCATTGGTCCAGTAATGCTTTGCCTCTGGTTGGTCTGTTCAATACCTAGACAAAGAAGTTATCCTGAATGAACTCCAGGAGTCTCCTAGATTGTTTGCAGCATGCTGTCTTACTTTCTCAGCCGACATCTGGGTGGTTGAAATCTCTCATCTGAAAGAGAGCCTGTGAGCTGACACCTCTTCTAGCTGAAGCAAGAAGACTACATCAGCAGACTCCCCTTGCTTGGGAGGCACTTCAATCAACAGATGTCTTTTATATCACTCTGATCCCTGATTTTAACCCACAAACTCCCAACCTCAGAATGGCTATTCTTTGAGCCAGCTCTTTGCAACCTATCAATTTCTTAACATAGAATGCAATTCTCCCACTCCTCCTTCCCTGCCTATTCCTTCTTAAAATCTTGTAGTCCTTGACTGTAGTGTTTCAGAGTCTGTGATTCATCCCACCATGCTTCTGGGGCAGTAATCAGGTCACAGTTTTCTAATTGCACCATGGTTTCCAGCTCTGCTTATTTCCCATGCTATGCAGTTCAATTTAGAGACACTCTAGCTGGGCTACTGGTGTTACCTTCTTGGAGGAGCCCTCCCAAATTTTTTGGGAACAAATCTGTGGCTTTCCCATGCTGCTTTCTAGAGTGACAGCATTTCTCAGTCCTTCCCTGTCCCTTGGAAGTACACCCCCTTCCCTCATGAGATCTAGTATAAAGCTCTGTTAATCAGTCCAGTCAATCTGCTGCCCAGAATGTTTTTGCCCCCCTCCCCATCAGTTTCATCCCATCCAACATCAGTACATGTTGTCTCTCTAAGGTGCATCCAACATCACAGTACCCAAAACGCCCAGTGTGACACCATCCACATAGCCAATCATTCAGCTGGTCCATTCTCCTCCTGCCCAAATTCCAGTCTCCAACCAGGAGGATTAAGGAGAATGCTGCCTGTACTCCCAGTCCCTTCAACATCCTCCAAGGAACATAAAATCTTTTTAAATATTTTGCTGTTTTCTATTTGCATTCTCCTGTGACTGAGTTTGAAAGAGCGGGAGCAGGAAGTAGTCCTCCAACTTTATCAGACCTGGTAGCTTTTTTCCAGTGTCCGAAGTATGGGCTTCTGGCAGGCAGCAAACTTCTCTAGAGAGACTGTACAGGCTGTAAATGGGTGCCTCAGTGCCCCTCTGTGCACTGAGTCCCCAGTAACAAAGACTCTTTGACTTTTTTTGGTGGCACCAGTTCTGACTTGTGTCCTTGATTGGACGACCCTAATGAGCCTGTTTCTGTGTCCAAACCATTATCCACACCTTCTTCTCTTTACAGCCCCAGAGCCTCTGAACATTGTTTACGGGGACTTCAGAAACAAGGGGGAGGATCCTCCTCAGAGACACATGTGCCATCCCCAACATCTTGTATGTTACTGTGGTCTGTCTCCTCAGGGCTGGAAGATAGCTTACTTTCTCCTTCTTGCAAGGACTTAAGACAAGGCTGTTGACCTGCCCGTATCACTGCACAGTGCTATGGATCTCTCTCCCCAGTTTCTGAATACCTGGTGATTTCCTCATGCAACATGGCCACCTGCTCAAAATGTCAATAGAAATGAGGACCCTTGCACCCAGTCTCCCCTTTTTCCTCAGGCCCTTAGGCAACTACCAGATTGTGAAATTCCCCACAGTCAGGGGTCTGGGTGGCTCTTTTGCTCATCAGGCAGTCTCCTTGTGTGGACACATCAGCCAGAAAGGTTGTGGCTCCCCGGTCTGTTCTGCCTTGATCCTGGTCATTGAGTGCTCATCATACTTGTTTCAACAGTGTTGGTCCCTGCTGCTCCCAGATGAGAAGACACTGGACCACATTCTGCCCTCCTTGCATGCCCTGCCTATGTGAACTAACGTGCAAGCTGCAGCACTACTCTGTTTGTCCATCCTGGTTGCTCGCTCTCCCAGGAGTCTGCCTTTGTACATGCAGAGGTGCTATACTGTTGCTTCTGGCCCTGCCCACACTTACTTAGCCACTCTTGTAAGGACTGAGGGCTCCCAGCAATTCTGTCCTTGCCCCAGGGTCTCCCTGTTTTCAGAACCTCCCTCTCACAACCATGATCTCCCACTGTGCTGCAGAATACATGAACAGTGCTACTAATTGCCACAGAATAAAGAATAAAGAGCATTAGGAAATGTTTATTTACTGTCTAATGCTGGAACAGGCTTCCCAGAGAAGTGGCTGATGCCCCTTCTGATGTCTGTCAGTGTTCAAGGGCATCTTGGATGGATAATGCCATCACCAATATGCTTTAATTTTTGATTAGCCCTGACATGGTCAGATAGTTGGGCTTTGTGATCTTTGTAGGACCCTTCCAGTGGAACTGTCCTGTTCTAGTTTATTCTATTCATCAAGTGATTAATTTTAAAAGAGACTGTGTGGTCGTCTTCACATGTCAAAACCACTACCCTGAGGAAGCTGACCACGGGCAAATAGCCTCAAAGCTAATATATGCTGAAGTAGCTCCAACGTCTCTCGTTGCCTTTTGCTACCCCCTTGTGGAACGTGAGGAGAAGGGCAGCAGAAAATACTGAAAATCCACAAACCCCAGCTGAACATATTCAAGCATAAGGAAGACTTGATCACTGTCTGCATAGTACTGGAGGTTTCTCACGCTGCTTATATATCACAAACATTTAGATTAAATGTTAGACTTATTTTCCTCATGAAAATCCTGGAATCCACATAAACACTGTATATTATATATTATATATTATAATCATTTGCCTTAAGAATGATGTAAGAAGCATGCAACATGAGCAGTCACAACTCAAAATCAAGAAAAGATCATTTTTAACAATGGCCAGGCATAAATTCAGTAAACAATGAAGATTATTATTTTAACAGGAGTCAGGATCAAAATGGTAGCTTTCTTTTTTCTAGATTCCAGAAAAATGCAATTTTCTTCAGTAATATAACTAGTTTTATCTGGTATCACACTTTCTGACTTTATTACTGCCCTATGATTTAAGAATATTCAAAAGGGAATGCTTATCTGCCAAAATATTTATGTCTGGAGAATAAAAAGGTACATGCCAGAGATACGTACTGCACGTGTATGACATAATTTGCTGTTAGGCTGGTTGCCCCCCACCAGAATAAGCTGTCTGTGACCCCATCCACCCTGGCTTTGAACACGTTCAGGGACTGGGCAACCACCACTTCTCTGGGTAACCTGTTCCAGTGCCTCACCACCCTCAGTAAACGATCTTCTTCCTAACATCTAACAGAAATCTACTCTTGTTTAATTGAAAACTGTTAACCCTTATTCTGTTACTACACTCTCCAGTGAAGAGTCCCTTCCTGTAGGACCCCTTTAGGTACAGGAAGGCCACAATGAAATCTCCTCAGAGCCTTCTATAGGCTGAACAAGCCCAGTTCCCTCAACCTTTCTTCACAGGAGGAGTGCTGCAGCCCTCCAAGCATCCCTGTGATCCGCTCAAAGAGCTCTGCATCCTTCCTGTGCTGGGGCCCCCAGGCCTCAACACAGTACTGCAGATGAGGCCTCATAGGAAGTCCTCAAGAATGCACTTGATCTCAAGAAAGCTGACGACTGCTTCAGTCAGAACACAAACCCAAGCGTTCTGCCTCGCCAGCCTCCTGGTCCGTGGCAGGCCTTGAGCCTTCCAAGCGATTTTTAAAAGGCACAGCACAGACCAGCCCTGCTGTGATTTCTTCTGCCTCGCTTAGATTGCAACCCTGCTGGAACTTCACACGTGCTCCAGTTACTCACTATCAAATCAGACCCGCCACAGCCGAGACAAAAATCCGGGAAGGCGCAGTTTTCCATGGGCCTGCTGCTGGACTACCATTCACTTAAAAAAGCAAAGCAAAACCCAGAAGTCCCACGGCGTCTCAGACACCGCAGTCGCCCCGCGTCAGCGTGAACGAGCCCGGCCCGCAGAGTGCCACCGCCCGCCACGGCGACTGCCCTGCCCGCGCTCCGGGGCCGCTGCCAGCGGGGCGGGGCGGGACGGGACGGGAGGGAAGCGGGAAGGGAGCGGGAGAGAGTCGGAAGGGCAACGACCCCGCGCCTAGCGCCGAGGCGGCAGCGGCGTGGCCGCCGCACGGCCCGTCCCACGCGGCGCCCCTGACGCTCAGCAGCGGCTCAGGGGACTGCGATAGGCAGGGAGGGCAGAGGCAGGCAGGCAGGCAGGCGAGACGCGCCTCCAGCTCCCCAGCAGCTCCGCGGCCCTTCCACCCCACACTTACCTTCACGGCCGCCGTGGCAGCCATGTTAGTTAGCAGCGGGCGGGCCTTTCCGCCCGGGGTGTGCGGGCACGGCCTGGGGGAGCGCCGTGTCAGCTGTGATAGCCGCTGATTAGGAAACAGTTAAGAACGTACTGTGCAGAACAGTCTCTTGTAGTAAGATCTGTTTTATTGCGATTTTTGTGTCTTCAGAAGATGGCATAACTGGTTTTGTTTGTTTGTTTCGTTCTTTCTAAAGATACCTCCTCTCCCCGGAAGCCCTTGGGCTGCACCAAAGGAGGGAGGGGGGAACTGAACCCACTGCCGTGCCCTCCTGAGGCCCCACTTGGAGTGCTGCATCCAGGCACGGGGCCCCCAGCACAAAAAGGATACAAAGAGCACAGTAACACTGTTTGATAGAGCAAATTCTCTGCTGCAGAACATTGGTTGTCAGCATAGTCCCCACCAGTAGTTGTGCATTTTTGCTAGCAGTTGACAAGATCCTGAGTGCCACGTCTGTAAAAATCTGCACCAGTGGAGGTGGCCTAAGTGTCGTTGCCACTGCTGAAACTCCACTTGCTGACTTACAGTGCTCACATCCGCTGCTTAGTGTCCATAAATAATTATTGAGCTTAGGAATGTCAGCGTGTGCAGGCTTATTTCTGCATGGAGGAATTCAGTTACACACCTCTGCTTCATAGGCACATGGCAACAACATGTAATATTGGTGGGAAGGTGTGGGAATACCAGAAAAACTGTTCGGAGCAGCAGCTGTGGAGCAAGATAAGCAGTATGAGAACCAAGGACACCTCTAGAAGAAGAAAGAACATCTCATGGCTCTGATTGGATAAGTGCCTGCATGAACAGTTGAAGAGTGTTTGTAGAATGCTGTGTTGACGTGTAAAGGTGGATGGGAAAGATGGGAAAGCTAGAAAAAGAAAACTTGTGAAGGTACATAAGTGATGTGAGAACTTATAATAAATGATTTTGATTGTTCGCATCTGAGTCTGCGCATCAGACGCTGCAGGAAGGTTCGTCCTCTGCTGCTGAACCCACCAGCACTCACCTTGGACACTGTGGGCCAACATAATAAAATAGAAGGCATTATTTTCAAAGAAGCACTTGTAGTATTTACTGTTTTCATATTTATGGTATTTTTCTTCTTTCTGCAAATCTGTACTTGCAAGCAGAACAATTCAGTATAGTGTATAATTTTTCAAGTTGAGAAATATCAAATGTTTCAATGTATTTATGATTCTATTAACACAGGTATAAATATCAGGTGTAGAGCTTTCAAAAACATCTTGTTAATTAGATGTTCTTTTAAAGAATATTTGTTATGTATTTTCTTTAAAACAGTTTCATCTAGCAGAGATGACTCAGTCATCCAGACATGTTCTCCTATGTGCTTTCTATGTTAACAAATGTAATGTATCTGCTAATAAATGTAAACTCAGATACAGCATTGATAGTAAGTTCTGCTTCATGTTGCAGCTGAGATGTCTGCTGCAATCACTCATCACTCAAAGCCAGCTTGGATGGCACCCTGGGCAACCTTATCTATTGCCAGGTTTAGTGTTTGGCAGCCCTTTCTTTGGCAAGGGAGTTGGAACTAGATAATCTTTGAGGACCCTTACAACCCAAGCCATCCTATGATGTGGGAGGCAGTTCATGGGAAATGAGGAGAAGGATACTCCTTCTCACTAAGGCATTAGCAGCTAGTGCTGAGATTGTTTCAGCTGGAATTTACACTTTACATGGAATTTACAACCATAGGATTGTACTTACGAGAAATATAGCTTGGAAAAATGTAATTTAAACAAAGGCAGAAGGAAGGAGGTGGGTGAAGCAGCACGCTAACTATCTCAGTACAGCACAGTGTAGCTATAAGACCATACAAAAATAGGATACTACTACTATAGGATAATACTACTCTTACTCATTCTAATTTGGACAGTCTATTGAAGCTATATACTCTACTTTTCTTGGACTGCACACAGTATTATACTGATGATTTCTGGCAATTCTTCCTGTCTATTTCTAGTACAATTTTCCTTTTGAATTGCTTGCAAAAAGCTTTATTAATTGTGTTGCAGTACTCATCTTTTATTGACACTTGCAACCCATTTCTTTTTCTGCTTTATGTTTTGTGCTTGTTTACGAATATGAATGCTCACTTTGTTTATAAATATATAGTATGAAATATGAAATAATATGAAAATACTCATAATTTGGACTCAGGGACCAGAGTTAAGGAGACTTTTCCTACTTCCATTTACACTAGTTATTTCTGCATAGTTGCCATGAATGTTTAGTATTGTACTTTCCCAAAAAGTACCAGCTTTGCAGTTTCATGCTTAGGGATTTTCTGTACTGTATGTGTTCTATGGAAGTGATACTATGTAAAGCTCTGTATTATAGCCTGTGCAGATCAGAACAGCAAGCAGAAAACCCTGCTCATGGTGAGTTGGTAATAACACATATACTTAGAAAATTTTGTAAGCTCATAAGGAGAATCACTGTTTATAGTATTGGAAGGTGTCTAGTGTGAGCCATTATTCTGGTACATTCTAAATGCAACTTTGGGACCTGGGTTTCGGCACCAAATTGTGAGAAACACTCTTAGCCAATAAGTTGGACTCCGGTGAGGGTCTTAGCGAAGCAGCATTTTTGTTGCCGTGGTGGACATACATCCCCTTGTGGCAAGGTAGAAATTGTGTTCTACACAATTGTGTATATGTGTTCTACAATTGTGAATATGTGCCTTCCCACCATGTACATATCGTAATATACCCTTTCTTTGGCGCAGGTAACTTCTCTCCTGGTCACTCAGTGACTGAGCATCCCAGGCTCATATCTGCTCGACACAGTTACTAAGATGTATTTCCATATAAGGGCTGTTAACCAACCTGTTGTTTTTAAGTATATTTTGTATTTCTCTATGGAAATAGGAGGGCAATACTTCTTAAAGATATCACAATCATTCTATCCTGTGCTTAGGGATCAAAGCCATCATACTTGTTCTGTTCTGTACTAGGCTCACCCTACCCTACATATTTGCTTTATCTCAGATTAGTCTCCATTCCATCCTGGTCAGCATGCTCCTGTTTCTGCTTTCAAAGCAAAGTTTGTCATATTTGCCCTATCTTGTGCTAGTTTCTGCCTTAGCAGCTTTTTGTGAAAAGCAATCTATGCAACCATTTTATAAGAAAGTTTTAAGACTAATAAGAGCCTATATTTTGGTATGGTATTGGAAGTTTCTACTGCAGAAACACAGTCTAACTCTCACATAAACTCACTGGTCTGCTAGAACTGGTACTTCTCCCTGTTACTTTCTATGTGCCAGATAATCAGTTTTCATACATGCAGAATTTGAATACATCCTTATCAACTGCTCATGGAAGCACTTAGGAGGTTTAGTTCAGTTGGCCTCAGATGAGCTATCTGCTGGACAGCTGCCACGTGGCTCTGCTGGAATGTACTTAGCACAGATCTACTGCATGCTTCTACTTTTGACTTAAAAAAAAAAAAAACCTCATATACATTATCTTTAATTCTACATCAATCATGCAGAAATTGAAAGGGGAAGAACAGAAATGGCTGGCACAGAGTTTCCACTGGTCTGCATGAGGTGGAGTTCTGCAAACCTCAGATGTTTTCCTGGATCTTGACTTTGCCTGTTCCCCTTGGCTGCTCAGACAGAGCTGCAGCGTGACTCATGACTAAAAGTTTCTTCTCAGTGATTACAAACTGCACCACCAGGGACTGGGCCCTGTAGGCATTATGACTCAGAGCCTCTGATGCAGGTAGTCCTCCTCCACTTTCTCCTCATTCCAGGCAGCAGATACACACTGCTGACCTCTTGTGTCATCCAGTTACTGCATGCCCACCCCAGACAGCCTTGCTGTGGCCAGTGGCAGCAGGAATAGGGCCAGATCTTCACCTTCATCATGTCTCTATGCACTTCCAGTAAGTGGGCTCACAGTCCCATATCTGTGTTTGGAGCCCTGGTTTGGTGGTCTTACCTCTGAAAGTGGTAAATAAGTACATGGGTATTCAAGGCTTTGTTCTGAATTTGATGGTGCTTCTAGCCAACATCTGGCTATGCTTTGCCAAACAGAATCCACATCACTCTTTCATGTAAGTCCCTTTCAAGTACTGTTTAAGTCCTTCAGCAATGTGGTTTATCTCTAGAAAAAAAAAGCATGAGATGCTTTTTTTGCTTATGTAGCCTGTGCAGTAACACCAGCTGAGGGATGATGTATATGTCATTTTATAGCTCATTACACAGCTCTAAACAGCAATTAAAAATTAGGCTCGGAGATGTTACCTGAAAAGAGGGTTTTTTTGTGTCTGCTTTATTTTACCATCTTCAAAAATAATAAAACAGATGCTTAAGCTATGAAGTTGACAACTTAGAAAGAGTTTAGTTCAGCAACTATTGTAAAATATTTGGAGTGAAGCTGTTGTGACTTAAACTGGCAGTCAACTAATCACCACAGCCAAAATCAAGACTAAATTTGATTATAAATTTAAAATTTATATTTGGTACTTTAGTTGATCTTTTATAGAATGACTGGCACAGGAAGAGGAGTAAAGTAAAAACCATGAATACATACAACATACAACTTTCCACATTAGAGACACTGCTTTGAACCAAGAGTTCATGTTTGCTGATATCTGTTATGTGTATGTCATTCATGTAAACACAGCTGAGATGCATGATATATTTTAGAACTATTTATTCTAAAAACTCACAAGGGAGATGGGAAAATTACTTACAGATGATGGGTGTGAGAAACACTCAGCTTCAATAATTCTCAATCAGGCACAGTTTTTGGTGAAGCAGAGTTGTTTTTATTCGCTATTGCAAAAGCAGGTGTGCGCACCCTTGTGGCGAGAGAGAAAGCGTGCATTTGATCAGTGAAACACTTCTCATTACATACCCTTATCTTTTATTGCAGGTAATTACATTCTTGTTCCTCTATTGGCTAGGTACTCCAGGTTTACAATCCACACAATGCATTTGCTAATCCATTTCTCCCTGTGAAATCTATCACCAACTTATTATTTTTAGGATTACTTTGTGAGTTGCTGTGCATACAGGAGGGTAATATTTCATGAAATTGTTATTCCTGTTTTATTCTGTGCTAGGCTTTCCTTTCCCTGCTCTGTATTTTTCCTCCTCTTCCTACTTAAAAAAGCCATGTTTAAGAAGAAACCTATATCAGAAAATATCTAAAGGCTACTAAGTCCCAATTCCTGACTTATTATATCTATCGCAGTGTGTGGTTGCAGCCCAGAAGGCCAACTGTATTCTGGGCTGCATTAAAAAAAGGGGTTGTCAGCAGGGAGAGGGAGGTGATTGTCCCCCTCTGCTCGGCTCTTGTGAGGCCCCATCTGCAGTACTGCGTCCAGGTCTGGGGCCCCCAGTACAGGAAGGACATGGAGCTCTTGGAGCGGGTCCAGAGGAGAGCCACTAAGATGATGAGAGGGCTGGAGCACCTCACCTGTGAGGAAAGGTTGAGGGAACTGGGCTTGTTCAGCTTGGAGAAGAGAAGGCTGCAGGAGACCTCATTGTAGCCTTCCAGTACTGGAAGAGAGCATAAAACAGGATGGGGAATGACTGTTTACCAGGATGGATAGTGATAGGACAAGGGGAAATAGTTTTAAACTGAGACAGGGGAGGTTTAGGTTAGATATTAGGAGAAGTTTTTCACCCAGAGGGTGGTGACACGCTGGAACAGGTTGCCCAAGGAGGTTGTGGATGACCATCTCTGGAGGCATTCAAGGCCAGGCTGGATGTGGCTCTGGGCAGCCTGGTCTGGTGGTTGGTGACCCTGCACATAGCAGGGGGGTGAAACTACATGAGCACTGTGGTCCTTTCCAACCCAGGCCCTGTGATTCTGTGATTCTATGATGATGCTGTGCTAGCAAGCATAAATTTTACACCTGCGTTTAGTTAGCAGTCTTTCCTTTCTGTATTCTTTCAGAAAAGCCCACATTTTTGATGTTTGGTAACAGTAGGTATTGCTCATTCCCTCCAGATTAATTTCTTACCCTGGTTAGAGTGTCCTAGTCTCTTAGCATCTTTCTTGTGAAAAACAA